ACTTGCGGGAAATGCAAGTAAAAAAATCTACAACCACTGTATAAGACGCACCCAGTTTTTAGACCCCCAATTTTTCGAAACAGGGTGTGTGGGGAAATACGGTACTTCAACTGAAAAATAACGTACAATGCAAAATAAGAATAACAAACGGAAAAGAAAAAGATGGAGGATGTCAATACAAACCTTGCCACTTTCAGCATTCTTTTCAATCTCTAAATTTTTAATCTGTTTCTCGGCTGCCTCAAGCTGCTGTCTAAGTTTCTCGATTTCCGATTTACCTTCGGAACTGGCTTTCTGAAGTGCATCAAGATCCAAGAGCTTTTCCTCGGCAGCCTTGAGCTGTGATGTAAAATTATCAATAACCTTGGTTTGTTCATTGCATTTGGCTTGTAATACATCTAGCTCCTTTACCTTTATTTCAGCTTCCTGTAATTTGTTTAAGGTGTCCTCCATTTCTACTAGATGCTGGTCTTCTGCTTTGTCCAGTTTTGATTTGATGGCTTCCAGACTGTTCTCTTTCTCTTTAACGACCTTCATTAGCTTAGCCCTGACGGCTTCTATCTCTTGGGCATGAGCCGACCGTTCCGAGTCTTGTTTATTCTGCAGATTCTCTATTTCGTGCTGGTAATCCAGTCTCATTTTCTCGATTTGAGTCTTCAGCTCGGCCAGTTCTGCTGTCTCCATCCCAACGCCCTTGCTGAAGGACACCTTCAGCTCCTCCATTGCCTGCTGTTGGGACCCGATGGCCGTCTCCAGCTTGGACTTCCACAGAGCGATCACATCCGAGTTCTCCTTATTGGCATGATCCAGCTTGCTTTTCAGGGACTCGTTCTCTTTGGAAAGCTTCTCTGTGGCAGCCTGAAGAGCCTTCATCTCCTTCTGATGTGTTTCTTCTCGGGCTCCAAAATGCTCCTTCAGAGAAGCGACTTCCCTCTGGTGGTCAGTGCGGGTGGCTTCTAACTTTTCTTGCAAAGAGCTGATCTCTTGCAAAAGGGATAGTGACATATCAACATCCCCAGCAGGCTTATTGGACTCTAGCCTTCTTCGCAGCTCAGCTACTTCCTGTACTCTCAACGCTAGGTCTTTTTCTAGTTCCATTATACGAGACTTTTCTGATACTGTAGCAACCTATTAACAGCAGTCCAAAGAAAAAGAGATCATTTAAATAACAAATCACTGACAACTTTCTTTAACCTTGGAGATCTTTAATAACTATCCCATTGCAAGCCAGCAGTCAAGCCACCAAGAAGGCCTATGTGTTAAATCTGCCTCTAGTTGCGATACTTAAGCCCAATTCCAGTAGCTCCAATTCAAGTCTATAATCTTTGGCAAACTTCCACCATTTTGAATGCTCAGGGAATCTAAAATTGATATTGAGTTTAACTCACTCCAAAATATTTCTTTTTCCTCCAAAGAAGCTTAAATCGAGGAAGTACCCATTAACTGATAATAACTTAATAGAAAAAGTAGCTTCCAAAGTTCTCCAATATATCTGCCTGCTGGAAGAAAGAATCCTCCTTATTCTGCCTGTTTTATCTACCCCGCTTCACGCAGGATGTATAAGTGCTTATTGATCTATTGGGTATGATTTGAAAAAACAGTGCTGTCCAGTATAGTAGCCATTAGCCACAGATGGCTACTGAGCACTTGAAACGTGGCTTATCTGAGTGACAGGGGCTATAAGTATAAAATAGGCATCAGATTTTGAAGACTTAGGAAAAAAAAGAACATAAAATATCTCATTAATTTTTATACTTATTACATGATAAAATTATATTTTGGATACATTAGTTTAAATAAAGTATATTACTAATTTCACCTGTTTCTTTTTATCTATTAAAAAAGTATGTTAATGTGGGTACCATAAAAATTTCAATTACGTATATGTGTGTGGCTTGTATTATTATACTTCTATTGGATAGCACTGGTATAGAAGGTATAAAGTTATCTATCGAATGTTTCAATGAATACTACATCGGCTGTACAACAGAAGCCTCAACTGGATGATGACGAATTAATTTATTAGCCTCACATGGCCAAGAATGATTACTTACCTGTGATTATATGTAAGCATCCTACACAGAGTGCTCCTTTTAGACTGCATAATTCTGCTCGCATTTTGATGTACATACCTGGCTCCCCTAACCCAGTGGTTCTCAGACTTTAATGTGCATGAGAGTCACCTGGGATGCATGTCTACAATGCAGTTCTCTAGCCTTTCACGCATTATTTTGATTCTATTTCAGCTCTGGGATAGTACCCAGGAACCTGCTTCTTTTAAACAAATACCCCAGGACTAAGAAAAACCCTTTCTTAACCTGTGTCCTTTTATTCTTAGGAAATTATTTCCCTCTGCTACCTGTTGGGCAGTCAGTTTAGTATACAAAATCCGTGGGAAATGGAAGCTTCAGGGATAAAAATTATTTGACTAATCTGGGAAATAGAAGGGAACATGAATGATTTAAACACACCAGTGAGCCCCAAATTTCAAGGATCAAAACTCCTCCAGACTGAAGACTCCTCTCCCTCACTGTCATTACTGGGACAGAAAATAATGGACATGTTGCCTTTACTTCTACTGCCCACCTACAGGCTACGATATCGATAAAGGCTAAAATGTCCACAAAAGAATAGGAAAAGAAAGCACTTTGGTTTCCAAAACTTCATAATCATTAAATATTTCAGAGCGGACTATAATTGTTGTATTTCAGAGTTATAGATGCTTCAGGTTAAAGATGTTAATTCATTTACATACTTTTTTCTGGGGGTATGGAGGGGATAGTTCAAAAGTTTGTTACCACAAAATAAGGTACAGAATGTTAATAAACCCCATTGCTACAAGATCTATACCATAAATAAATCCAATAGGGTAACAGTGCTTAATTAGGCATAACAAAACAGTCAAATTGAGGAAAGTCCAAGTAAAAAAAATAAGTGAAAATAATAAACAGTGTGATTAAACTTTATGTAGCATTCCCATTTCCCAAAGCCTGCCCTCAGGCGAAGCTATCAATGTATCTGCCTCTCCTATTAGTTTAAGGCCATAAAAAGTCAGGTATCGTTCTTATTCTTGTTAATATCTGTACAGGTACAGCACCAAGCATACTCTTTATAAACTGGACTGATTGGTTTAGAGACATTCTGAAGTGCTTCCTAGAAGGAATGTAGGTGGTATGAAACTTATGGCTCACTGGTTAGTTTCACACTTGGCAAAACAAGGCTGAGGATCAACAGAAGTCCAATTTGTTATAGAAAAATAACAGCTTGAATCTGAAATATTTGACTAACCCATGCTGTGAATAGATGTCTTCTTATCCACAGTAAAAAAAAAAAAAAAGCATCAAAGTTGTTTGCTGACAAAGTGATTTGGGAGAGGAGTTCAGAAGTAAATAAATATCCTTACTTGAACAGCCAGTCACACTAAAGGCGCTCAATCTAATTATTAGTCCCTTGTATTTCCCAGATCAAGTCTTTGCTCTCAGTAATGAAGAAATAGCACCAGAGTCTTTTTTTTTTTTTTTTTACCAAATACACAGAAGATATCTTTAGTTTTGAGGCCGACTGAAAACACTTTTCTTTCTTCTTAAAAAATAAAAACTTATGATTTAGAGAAGAAAAATCACTCAATTACCTAGATTTTTAGATTAATCAATGATTTCTCAAAAAGAGAAATTTCTAAAAATACTAATAATTCAAAAGAAAAATCAGGATACTAAAATTTGATCAGATAGAGTAATTTTTGAAATTTTAAAATTAAGGATCTCGGCAACTTAGTGACAGTCAAATTCATGATTTAAAAGATATACACACATAAGTCTTTTCTTATATGTAAATGACTCAGATTATTTCTTAAATCTTTCAGCACAAAACTATTTCCATGCTGTGATGGTTAAGAGCACCGACTCTGGAGCCAAACAGTCTAGATACAAATCCTGGCTCCAGCTTACTATTAGCTGTGTGACCTTAGGCAAATGATGTAACCTCTCTGTGCCTCAGTGTCCCTAGCTGTGGAATGCGGACAACATTACCACCTTGCTCCTGGGGCTGTGGTGAGACTGAATAAGTTAATACTTCTTAAGTGCTGAGAATAGTGCCTGGCATGAAGTCAGCACTACAAATATAGGTGCTTTAATACATATCAGCAAAAACATGACAAATGTAGTGGCTCCAAGCGCCAAACACAGTGAGCTGGGGGTTGTACGAAGTCATTCTGTTCCCAACACACTTTTCCCTCCTGACAACTGAGATTTTAACCTCCTGGGTGATGGAAAGGAGAAAAATGCAAAGAGAGATCAGGTATCAGGGGAAAAAAAGATAGCTGGGGTGAAAGTCCTTAACTCTCATTAAAAAGAACCAATGTTTCAATTCCCTTCCCCCAAGAGGCCAGGGAAAAAGGAAGTAAAAAGAGAGCTAAAGCAAAACAGCAATAACAAAAAATTGTCTAGAAAACCCAGTAACTAGGACTATGAGAATAAGAGGACAATTGACTGCTTGTGGCGAACCGGAGAAATGTGTTTCAAGGTATTGACACAAAGAACCTAAATGCAGCTGTGGAGTCCCTGCAGTGTATCCAGCTGCCGAGTTTCTGGTCTTGAGTTTGGCTGAGTTACCCAAAGGAATGAGTCTTTACCTTTGACAAGAGATTTGATATGAAACGCCTGTGCCTGCCCATCCGTCTAAGCTCAGGAACAGTATCAAGAGCAAACTCAAGTTGAACCACTGGGTCAAGGCTTAGGCCAACGGCAAGGCGCACCGCCCGAGGTGTCCACCCTTCACGTGCATGGGTCTGCTTCATTAAACAGGGAAAAGCGTTACCCTAGTGTCTTCTAACTCCCTCTGGAGTTTGTCAGCTTTGGTCTTTTCAAAGAGCAGGCTCTGTTCAAGCTCCTTAATGCGGGCATGCTCCAGTTTGGTCTGCGTCTGTTAGTAAAAAGGAAGAGGAAGAGAACACAACAGTGCCACCATGACATGCCAGCACAAGAGGAGAGACAGCGGCATGCAGGCTGAGCCACCGGTACCTTCCGCCAAAGGATGAACAAAAAGGGTAATGGAGAAGGGAAGAGGATGGAGGTGAGATGAGGAGGTGGGGGGAAGATGAACACTACGAACAAAATGACATGGGCAGGGGGCATGAGCTAGTGTACTGAGAAAGAAAAAATGGAAAACACATGAGGCAAGATGAAAAGTGTCAGGTGCATGCAGCCAAATATAAGTTATATTGATAAGTGAAGTTTATCAGCACAAATTAGAACAGTTAATATTCCTCTAAACTATCATTTTCCCTCCTCCCCACAACAGCTATATGACAATAATGTGTATGTAACTGACTCGGTGACTTTAAAAAGTAGACTGACCCTCAAAATGATCGCTATCACCTAAATATGGAAAAGGTAACGTCCTAAATCTTGTGTGTTCGGTAAATCCCTTAGAGCAGATCCTTGCACTGTAGCATACAATTTGATGTGAACGCAGGTTGCATACAAAACCTGACAAAGGGATCCTAGAAACAAGAGCTCAGGAAATCACACCAATGGCCTTTGCTGGGACACGTGAGAAGGATCTGAGATTCTTAGCAACAACAGTCTCACATCTGACGGGCCAAGAGCCACTAAAGCTCTAATTTCCTTCCAACAGTGGATTTGCCAAAGCCTATTTGTCACCGGATTAAAAAAAAAATGCAAGGCAGGTTTACAAAGAGAAAATTCAGTAATAATATGCTCCACAGCCTCCATCCCTGAGGCTCAGAGCGGGAGAAAAGTCTGGCCAGAGCTGAGCTCTTTATCTTGATCCTAAGATGAAGTAGTTCTTATCAGCTCAGAGGTTAAGAAATGGTGACTCAACACAAAAGCATGAGCTTGAGCTCCGTGCAAGAAAAGCTGGTAAGATCCTACCACGTTTCAAAACCTCCGAGATTCCCCATCATATTCACTTTGGTAGAACCTGATGGAGAACCCAGGAGGTGATCTCTTTCTAACAGCTTTAAGTGCAGCAGACTCTTAATCAGTTTGAAATAATTTAGGTATCAGTCTGAATGTACCTCTTTCCCATTCACCTCTCCTACCCAAGAGGTTCAACATAATCAACTGATAAAACCTACTGACAGAGCTGCTCCCAGCAGCTTTTAGTTACTTGTATTAAATGTTTTGTGGTTCTAACTGGACAGATCTATCAGTCTGGACCATTATGGGCAATGAGAAGATGACAACAAACTCTAGATAAAGTAACAGAAAGCAATGCAGAGCTTAAGTAGAAGGCGGAATGTTTTACGTTATAAATGTCTTTACTCACTCCGGTGGTACTCTGGGGATTTCAATGTATTCAAGAGGTCACTTTGCTTATAAACAGGTATAACCCATCACGGAATATTTAAAAGGTGGACACTAACTTAAAGAAAAACTTCACCTGTTTCAGCTCTTATACTCAACAAAAATAATAACATTGAAAACCTAACTGTCTTGATAGTCCCCTTGGTCCACATGTGTTTTAGACAGAAGTCGTTCAATTTACCTGCTTTTACAAGAAAAATAATTTACTCCTGAGCCACATAACTGAGGTCACAGCCTCAAGAACTGAACTCCAAAACTAAAGAGGAAAAGCAAAAGGCAACAGAACCTTTCTTCTCCTCTGGACACTGAGTTCAGTGTCGTGTGGGTGAAAGGTCACCACTTCCAGGTTAAAAGCAAATATCCACTGAGTGTCATCTTCTGCCCCCTTGGAGACCTTCCTGATGACTGCAGCAGGCTCTCCGACCTAGCGAGTGTGCACACAAACGACTGCAGGGGCCTCTACTGCTATCTCTGAAGAGAGATCAGCAAGGAAGCTAGTGACCCACTCCCCTGCCACGGTCTGTAGGAAGAACGTTACGCTGGACAGGACAACCCTCCTTTCAAAATGATCCCTTCCTTAGAGTATGACAGAGTGTCCCAAGAGGACAGTCCTGGGACAGGGACCGAGGGGAAGCAAAGGCTCTGCGAGAAGCGCACAGAGAGGCAGGAGGGAGACCCCATGCAGACTGACACCGGGTGCAGCGGGAGCCTGTTTGGGAAGGAGAAAGGAGACCCAGATCACTGAAGTAGCTTCACACAAAGGACACCTTCAGAACGGAGGCTGTTTTAAAATTCAGTCTTGACTTGTCTATTTTAGCTGCCAGGCTGTGATAGGAAGAAACATTCTTTGTTTTAATTTTGTTCTCTCAGTTGGCATCACAGCTGGCTGGGTGCACCAAGAAGCCAGGCTTTCGAGCCACTTTGGTAAGATTTGGACTAGGCGTTTGATCTTAAGTGGAGGAAGGAAGGAAAAGAAAAACACCTGCATGCCTAGTAGTACTGCTAGAAAAATTCCACTTTGAAAATAATAAATTCACTGAAGAATGTTTGCCTCTAGTTTTAAGAAACATGGAAAATTCTGCAGCAACAAACGCTAGTTTGAATTTCTAGTCAGCTGCAACAACAGGTACTGGCCAGCAGTGGGCGCTCACACCAAAGGCAATCAGTCTAGGATTCATGATCCCCTTTTATTCTCAAGGGAATAAAATTAGACAACTTAGGGAAAACTTCCCCCAGAATTTCTATAATTCCTTCATCTAATACGTTTTACACCTCAGCCAGCAATCACCTCTTTCAGAAAAATTCTATTAAAATTAGAAGACATGAATTAAGTGAAAAAGGCCAGACCCCTTGACAAACTTTTTTGTTTGTTTTCGGCAAAATTCTTTGTAAAGCGAACGTATATATATGCCTATGTATGAAACAAATGGATTTTTAGAGCTTAGTCATTATACACAATTTTTCAGGATACAAATTAACTGGTTTGAAAGCCACATGCACAGAAATATTAAGGTCAATATCTCAAGGTCAGATTATGCAGTTAGTATTTGAGTATATCAATAAGCATTTTAATCTGTAATTGATCTGTGTTAACAAGAGATATATCCACACAGTTAAGTGCCCTCTTACATTCTCAGGATCTTCAGAAATCTGGCTCTTTTGCTATCAGTAAAAAAATAAAAAATTAACAACAAAAGAGAGATTCAACTAAAGTTCAAAATGTGTTAGGGTTTCAAAATAACTGATTAATTCCAAGTAAGTTTACCAGACAGACTATACTAACCCAGTGCTGATGCAAATATTTTAACCTGTCCCTCCCCAAACACCCTAGGCTATGTTTCATGTGAATTAGATGATGATATGAAAATTCTAATGAGACTTTGGGGTATATTTAAATGGATGAGAATAACACAAAAGTCAACTAAAGGAATGTGACTGTACATGAAATGAGTGAAGAAGATATCTATTAAATTAATAATCTATTAAATCCTGGGCCCTATAAAACTAAAACTCCAAAAATGTTTTCCTTACTCTTTGTTTACTGTAAAGATATATTTATTTCCAAAGAAATTAGAATTCCCATTTGGAAGGGCCTTTGAAACTTAAGCATGGTGTGGGCAGTCAATAGACTCTAAAATTGTAATGGTAGCAAAAATGTATATTCTGAGAACTTCACAGACAAGTGCAATTTTTACTAAAATTGATTAAAGTACCAAAGATCTGCATAATTTGAAAAATTAGTAATTTGTATTTGTCATATATCTAGCAGTGCTTTGAAAAGCATCAAAACCATTTGTAATTCTGGTGTCCAATTAAAAAACTAATACGGATAATTGTTAAGAGATTAGGAACTTAATGGTCAAGGACTCTATGAATTTAAAATATGCCATGGAAGTAAAAGAAGTTAAAATATAAATTGCTCTCGTTTTTCTTTTTCTGGTAATTGCTTTTTTAAACAAATCAACTACTAGAATATATATGTATTTCTTTTGTAGGGTTATAAAAGGTTTATCCTGCTCAATTGAAAAGCAAAGCTGAGATAAAGCAAAAAGCTTTGCTTTGGGCTATTCTATAGAAAAAAAATTTCCTTAAAAATGCCATTTCTGGTCATCAGAGGAACACATAGAGTCTCACTTAGGACATGCTGCCAGATTTATGACTCAATTAACTCCAATTCAAGGTTTTGAATTTTGAAACCCAAGAAGAGTAGTGAAAGTTTCCCTGCGCCCCAGAGGTGGGACAGCAAGCACAATCACAGCCCAAGGATGGCTCCATCACTTTTGCTGAGAGCCATGCCCACAGCCCAGCCTGGCCGGACACTGGGGCTCTTGCCACTCCCTCTGCTGCCTGCTCTGGCCACACGTATCAGCTGGCACAACGATGTCCCCCACACTTCTGAACACTGGTGCCCATAAAAGCTTTAGAGAGCTGGAGGGGTTTTACCTCAAGATCTCCTTTAGTAATTGATTCTTCCTCAACCCGGAACTGAAGGTCCTCAACCTTCCTGTGAAACAAAATGGAAACAAAGCATTTAAGAAAGTAACAAAGAAACACATCTGCTTTACCCCACCCCCGCAAAAAAAAAATATTATACACACACATAGATATATACAGTCAATACCCTGGTGAATTTAGTAGATGATGGTGGAAAGAAGTACCTTAGGGAGACAGAAAATAAATGCATCTTGAGGCCTCTGGTTTATAAATCTAAGAGCTTTACTCTATTTAGGAAACTCCGTTTTATCCAGGTACTGATTCCAGAAGGCCTGAGGTAAGAGCTGAGAAAAACCAACAGTTCCCTTGGTCAGGACCATCAGAGTGAATCCAATCAAGACAAGACCAGCCTAGGGCTGGCTGAGTCGGCTGACTGGCGCATTGGTTAAGAACTGGCTTGGGACGCCAGAGGGCCCCGGTTCGGATCCCACATATGAGGGCCAGTGACACTGCCCCTCTACAGCTAAGACAGCTCAACCTAGCGCTGGGTTGCTGTGAGTCGCCAGCGAAGGCGTAGGCTGCAGCCCCTGCTGCAGTGGGTTGCCATGGGCTACTGTGTGTAGCCAGCAGCCAGCGTGAGTAGCCATCCAGAAGCCGGCAACTGATCTGCCTCGCCCAGGAAGAGCGCAATGATGGTGCCAACTTGGGCCAGTGAAGCAANCTAAAATTTATATGGAACCAAAAAAAGACCCTGAATAGCCACAGCAATCCTGAGAAATAAGAACAAAGTCGGGGGGGATCATGCTTCCAGACATTAAAACGTACTACAAGGCTACAGTAATCAAAACAGTATGGCACTGGCATAAAAACAGGCACATAGAGGGCCAGCTGACTGGCGCATTGGTTAAGAACTGGCTTGGGATGCCAGAGGGCCCCGGTTTGGATCCCACATATGAGGGCCAGTGACACTACCCTCCCCAAAAAAAAACTTTAAAAAAAAAAAAAAAAAAAAGACAAGCAGCCTAAAGGGAAACGGCCTGCTTGCCACAGAAACAGGTTTGGGAAGGCAAGTCTGTAATTTCTACTTTCCAACACCACCACAGGGGAAGGTGGCACAGAAAACCAGTCTCTTTATACCACCCCACATGAGCTACATTAGAGTGAGGAGAGCAGACTACCCATGCCAAGATCCCTGGACAACACTAGCACCTGTTCCGAGACTTGGAGAGTAAGGCTGTAACGCTCTGGGGGAGAAGCCATCATGAATTCTACCTCTTTGCTTCTAAAGTGCACACTGTTTCACATTTTACAATCTGTGGTATTGGGTGTGGGTTTCAATCAATTCCATCACAAAGTCAATGAAACATGGTATTCCTAAAGTACATTTCTGCTGCCCCGCAGTCAGCAGAGCAAGAGCTGAATTAAGAACAGAAGCAAATGGGGCCGGCCAAGTGGCACGTTGGTTAGGAGTTGGCCTGGGACGCCAGCTCTGAGCAGCAGGGCCCCAGTTGGGATCCCACATATGAGGGCCAGTGACACTGCCCTCTACAGCTAAGACGGTGAACAACAGCTCGACCTGGAGCTGGGCTGCCGTGAGTCGCCAGCAACGGTGTAGGCTGCAGCCCCTGCTGCAGTGGGCTGTCATAGCTACCGTGAGTGGCTGGCAGCCAGCGTGAGTGGCCGGCAGCCGGCATGAGCTGCCAAGAGCCGCTGTGAGTGGCCGTCCAGAGGCCAGCGACCAATCTGCCTCACCCGGGAAGAGCACAATGATGATACAAACATGGGCCAGTGAAGCAACGTTCTCCACAACTAGACTGAAGAACAAAAGGACAGCAACTTGTCTGTTCCCCTTCCCCGATTCCCCAGTAAAAATCTTCAAAAAAAAAGAACAGAAGCAAATAGTACTAGTGCCTCGGTACTCAGAAAGGCCTAGAAGGACCTGTCACTGTCTCTCGCTTCCTGGTAGCCATATTTAGGATGCGAGGAGAATTTCCTACCTACAGTGTTTCTGCCTCCAGTGAGATGGTAACTTCCTTGGTAAGAGGCTGTATTACACCTCCACCACGTCCCCTTCCCACAGCAGTGCTTAGGGCCATCCTGAGTGCAGTTACACTAGATAACTAGTGAATTAAGTCGATATCAGAAATGACAAAAGATGACATTAAATGCAACAGAGGACAAACATCCCATAACCAGAGATGGGCAAATCATTTCCATGATGACACTTCGTTTTCAGAGATCTTGTTTGTGAACCGCCTAAAAAACCTTTTATAAGAACCAAACGTGCTTTCTCTGTCTCACACAATTTAGCACTCCTGGCTGGGGTAATTCTCTAATTGCTGCACATGAGAGTTTTGTTTTCCTAATAAGGTACTGAGTTTCTCAAGGACAGGGACCTTATATCACCCACCGGACAAAATCCAATTTCATTAGCTACATGCAAGGTGTTTCGTAAATACTGGGTGACTTGGACCTAGAAAATTGTCACACCAGGAATGGCTCCAGGTGGGGGCTGGGTTTGAATTAACTCTGCAACATGACCAAGGCCATCTTCAAGAAGACGGTTCACACAGTAGGCACTCACTAAACAGCTGTTAAGTCCATCAGGCCGTGTCTAGGTGATCCCCAGCTTCTCAAAAAGTCAAATCAAAGCAAACCTCCTCACAGTGTGACGATGTCAGTGTCCGCTAAGCACGGTCATTCCTTTGGTTCTAGGGGTTGACACCCACAGGCTGTTAACGCGAAAGGTGGTTTACAAGGAGAAGGCCACACTGCACTAGGAACAGTTTGGGATCACCTTTTCTCTTCTTCAAGTTGGTTGAGAAGCTCCACCTTCTCCCTGTCAGCAGCTTCCACCATTGTTCGCAGCTGGTCCATCTTGGCCTCCAACTCCAGGACATGCTGGGGAAGGCAAGGAGGTCGGTGAATAAGCAGCCCCTTTCTGACCCAGACAGGCCCAGGGATGCCTCCAGAATGCTACGGCTAAGTGGTACCACTGTGGGCTGGTGTTACTCTAAACCTTTTCACATTAAAGTGTGTTCTATGATCTTTAACAGGTTATTCTCGGCAGCATTCCTGGAGTTAGATGATGGAAACCACACCATTGAAGCAACAGGGGGCAATGTTAAAACAACTCTCATCTGTTGGGAAGCTGAAACTCATACAAAGGATAATCTACGAAACAGAAGTTGTCATCACAGGTAAAGTCCTAGTAAACAAGCTCACCTAACACAGATAGGCCAAAAGACCTGGACGTAAAGACCAGAAGGCTAAGTAGACTCAAGAAGAACAAAACTCCATCTTTATGATGATGTGAACTGCAACACAGACCACAGCTTTCAAACAAGCCCAGCAAAGACACTGATACTCATTTTCGATGCTCCCAAGACTAGCTCCCCGGCTCCTAGCCTCCTCCCTCAATTTAAAACCCGTCACCATCTCCACAACAAGGTCAGCTTAGAACCCGTCACCATCTCCACAACAAGGTCAGCGCCAGACTTCACCTGGTCGTGTCCGTCCCGGGCCAGAGCTAGCTCCTGCTCTATTTCCCCCACGTGGCTCGTGGCCTTGGCCACCTCTGCCCTCTCTAGGTCCCGTTCAGCCAGCAGCTGCTCAATGTGCTGCTGCTTCTCCTTCAGGGCCTCCTGGAGGGCAGTGGTCCCGGAGATCTTCCTGGCATAACGGGAGGAGGTTTCGGTCAACTGCAAAGGAAAGTTAAAGAAGTAAAGGGCGATGATGCCATGAGGGACTCAGGAGGGAGCGATGCATGCACAGCGGGCGTCTCCTCAGCAAAGCAAAAGTGCCACCCCGCTCACAGGCCTGACAATTACTGGGAAAGGCTTTTCGTTAGGAAAACAAAACAGCAAGTGGCTCCTGTCTGTACATTTCACAAAGAACACATATAAGTAAAGATGTCATAGAACACTCAGGAAGATGTTTAGAAGGAGACTCAGTGGCTCAAGTCAAAGATACCCTGAAGGCAGTTGACAGGCCATCTACAAAATTCCACAGAACCCATTTTAACAAGTTTCTCTAACTCCATTTCGGCCTGAGCTTCATTAATAGCTATCTTCTTGTTAGAACATTTTAACCAATCTTGCGATCTTTAGACTTGAAGTTGAGACTTTTTTCAACTTCTTAAGCTTCTGAACACCATTAAGTAACCAAGAGGTCGCCCTTCCTTCAACTGATAAAATAGCTGGATCTTTGTCAGGATCTTCTTCATCTTTCTTTCAAAATGAAAGGAAGAGGCGCGCTCACCCAGAACTCCAGCCTGGAGGACCTAAATCCCTATTTCCAGAGATATTTATAATGATAAGATTAAGAGGAAAACAGCATCAGCTTCAAAAGTGTCTGGGAGAGGGTGAGGGTGCGTGCGTATGTCTGGGCAAGTACACACATAAGAGAAAGGAAGAAAAAGGACAGAGAAGAGGGGAAAGAGAAATTTATGAAGCAAGAGAAGCAGAAGGTGAAAGGAGGGAGAAAAAAGGGGGGATGGAGAGGGACATGGGAGGACAGAAGTGAAGAAGAAAGACTGGCGGGGGTGCGGGGTGGAGAAGAAACGGTTTCAGATCTGTTGTCTGTCATTCTTTGCTGTTTCACAACCCCAATCCCAACATCTTGAGGCTAGAGTCATATAAAAACACAGAAAAGAACCTCCTATTAAATGTTAACAGGTAACTGGGCAAGTTGACTAATAGTCTTCCAAGCCAGGCCTCAAGGAATGGTAGTTAAGAAAAGCCTTCATCCCTTGGCAAGCGTTTGTCCAAGGCCCTTTCGCAGAGCTCACTAGCTCTAGAGGACTGCGGCCTTGACTTCATCTTCTGCAATCAGAGCCTCATTTGCTGCTTGAATGCTCTGCTCGTCATCAGTGCATCTGAGCCCTCGTCCAGGATGCAGACTGAGGGTGAGGTTCCGTCATTAATTAAGAGTTAGGCAATCTGATAACATTGCGAGTAAAGAAATTCAGTCAAACCCTTCTGCAGTTTCTATTTAGTGAAATTTCTTGAATTACTTAAACATATTGGGGAGGGGAGAAAATTCCTGTTCTTTTACCATCTGACCTTGACTTTCCAACTTCATTGCATGTATGGTTAGCTTATATTTTCCCATACTAACATTTCTTCCCAAATAAATCTGAGGTTCCCAAACCTTGAGCAGAGACAGCCCTGTGCGCTGCGGCAAATTCACAGGGCACTGTGAAATATTTTTAAATTGCAAGGGGAACACAGCAACACCTGTTGGACACCATGCAAACTGCTAGCTTGAGGCAATTCAGTTTCAACAGGCTTTGGCTACAAGTAAGCGATATTTATTCAAGGGTCTTAGGGTTTGCTGCCTGAAATACAACTAGGCAATACCCAGAGTGTTCGAAAGAAAAAAGCTAAGAGTTCTATTAAAAAGCACATGCTTGAGAATACTCAGTCCTGCCTTCTTGACCTCTGGACTGGTCCAAGACGATAATCTTACAGATATCTGGTGGTCTGGACACGTGAACATTCTTTCTTAAGTCCTTCAGGAAGTTATCAGAGGCTTATCCATGGATTCATTATATATACATGAGTGTGTGTGTGTATCTATCTCCAGGAGTAACTGGAAATTTAAAAAGTTTAAATTCCCAGGCTAGTTAAAGAAAGAACAGAATCGCTTCCTCATGCCTCAGCCCACATGATGGACTTTAATAACTCAGCAGCTTGACTACCGTGACTTGATTTCTTCACTCCTTCCTCAGATGGTCATGCATTCCTTCTGACAACTCCATGTCTTTCCAAAGCTAAGTTATGGCTACACTTCTGTGGAACTGTCCAGGATTAGCAAACCGACTAGACGTCCATATTAGAGTTTGCTGAGCCCCGTGAATAAAGCTCTGTCCAAACGGGAGTTTCTTTACCTCCCTTTCATTGTTCTTGTCAACTTTTCCATGAAGTTCATTTGTAATTTTTCTGTTGAAGATGATTTTCTTTTCATATGCAAAACACGATCATCCAAGCAGGCTTTTATAATATTTTCCCTGAAGAGAAGAGGAGGGAAGTGCAGCGGGCTGGCGAGGAGCACCACCCCCATCTTAACGACAGATTCCTCCACCTTCCCTCTCCTTGCGACATCAATGGAAAGAAGGCAAACTGAGATCGAGGGTCTTACTCCCCATCACACCACTTAACATTCTAACTCCTGTCTCTAGTTCATCATCATAATGGAGAGATCCCGAATTCAGTCTGGAGTTCAATCTTATGCTGCCATTTCAAATTTAAACAGTGTCTGCGTTGCTTCAAGTAAATAAACTTAAGGGCAGGGGATAAAGCCAGAAAGACATTGCTTTGACCCTAATAAAACACCACGTTAACAACAGAATGAGATGCTGCCTATTCTAGTTCTGATGACTCTATTTTTACTGATTTGAGTGGGAAAAGCTAAGTGAGAGGAAGAGAGGGTGGGAGATGGAAAGAGAAGACAAAACAAAACGTGGCTCTTCCCAGCATCCTTTCCAGCCTGGGAAGTCCCCCTCTGAGACAGGAATATTGACACGACTGCTTTCAGTGGGTTAGACTATATTAACATAACACTAAAATTCTAAGAGCTTGGCTTTTCTCAAAATACTTTAGTTCCTAAAATTGTCTGAAGTCAAAGAGAAAGAGCTACGTCCTTGAGGAAAAGGATCTCCCCAAATTTCCTGTCATTCTTGCACCAAAGTAATTGCAGAGAAAAGAAATTATCCCGTATGTTGGACTAAGCAGTAAGCAGTAGTTACTACAGATTCACCAACAACTGTGCATCTTAAAGCCTTAAGCATCCAAAAGGGGCTGTTAAAAACTATTTTAAAACTTGTGTGCTTGCTAGGGTTTTATTTTGTGAAACCTGTAAGGATGCCCACAAGCTATGACTACAATTCAGTACCAGGGCACGGGGCGACTTCGCATGTCTTAGAGCAAAGCAGGTGCAGACCGCGGGCACGCCCCATGCCGGGGAGTAGAGGCATGCAGTAAGGAAGGGGGCTTACTAATCCTGTCCGACTGGGCTTGCTGCTCACGGACGAGGCCACCGAGCTCATGGAGCTGAGGGAGGAGGCAGAAGGGCTGCGCTTCAGGCTGGCGGGCGTGGTCGCCATCACTCGCCGCACAGCAGCGGCCTTGGCTTTGGCTGGCGTAGTGGACGGGAAGCCAATCTTGGTCACTTTGTGGACAGGAGCAAACAGGCCGTATTTGGGTTGACACTGAAAATACCTTTAGAGAACAATAATAAGAACAGTAACAAAAATTTAACGATAAGAAATATCAACTATAACCAAAATGCTCTCTTTGGGGTTGGTTTGCTATGAATTCTACCCGTGAGCTGGGCTGATGCGCCAGCACGCAGGAATCACACGTGTGCAGGCTGATAAATACCCTCAATAAGGCTTTAGAAAACACACTCATAAACCGCAATATGGCACACAGAGACAGAATTACTGATCTGCTACTAAGGTTCTACGCAAAGGGGATACGATTTATATTATCTCATAAACGTTCAGCAGAGGAGTTCAGCAATCTAGTGATCCCACTTCATAAAACCTTGCCAAACAAAGGGAAGAAAATCCAACAAGCACCTGACTCTGGTTCGCTAAAGTGAGGTAGAGAAATGTTAGCTAGTAAGACACAGGAGATCACATGACTCTGGAGAATTAGAATGTTTTTATATCCAAAAGGGAAGGGCTTCATAATCGGTGCAGCATCAGCTGATTTCATCTCCTCAAGGCATTATTATTATTATTATAGCTGGTAGATAAGGCCGTTGCTTCGAATCGATCTGGATGTGTTTTGTACATAAAATGTGAACACTTCATACCACTACTACTGATGCATCACAGACCACACCTGGGTATTCAAAACACCATGAAAAGGCAGTGTGTCACTCCTCTCGTGTTCATCTGCATGAGTTAACTCCCATCCCACCTCTGGGAGATGAGAGTGGGGTTATCTTCACAACTGCAGAGGTGTGCCTGCCTTTTGTTCCCTTGCTACAGGACAGAATTCTTGTCATCAGATGTGAAGACCCATTTTACGTTCTTTTCCTAACAAAGCTAGCTAGCTTCTTATCTTCACCCCCCCACCCCCCAGGCCCAGAAACTCATTCAGATGTTGACTGCTATCGAAAGGGAGAGAAGCCAAAAGGATGCCATAATATTTCCTTTCTATTTTGAAAAATAAACTGAAAATACCATATATGATATTATAATGGAGGATACACACCATTATACATTTGTCTAAACCCACAGAATGTACAAGACCAAGAGTAAACGCTAATGTTAACTATGGACTTTGGCTGATTGTGACGTGTCTGCGTAGGTTCATCAGTTGTAACAAATGCACCATCAGGTACAGACTGTTGATAATGGTGGGGAGGGGAGGGGGCCTGGGCATGCGG